TACTTTAGACCGAAATTCCGAGCTGTTTAGAAGGGTTTTGAGAAAACTGGTGTTGTCTATCAAATCGCATGAGTCTGTTGTAAAAACGAGTGAAAAGTAAAGAACGTGGGTTATTTCCTTTAATGAAAGAACGGATACATTATTTGCATGTGCTTAAGCCACACTGTGATCGACACGGGCAACAAGCAGCTCTCCTCAAACGACACAAATAATTCGGTTTGTGTAGGAGCGCACATTCCCTACTCCTGCAGTAGTCTCGCACCCGCTCTGGAAGGTCTGAGGATCCGCGCCCGTATGACTCACGACATCTCAACTAATGACCGAGCCGTTTTCCTTCCCTCTGGTGGTAAATGAGGGCTGCTGCTCTCATTTACTTAGCGTCATGATGGCACTCAGACCAAACGGACGAACTTAATCAATCACATTCCAGCAGGATGAAGGCTGTGCGTTCCTTGGCGAACGGCAACTGCGCGGTTCACGGTTGTGACGAGAAGCATTAAATTATTTTGCGTGCCGCGCAAAATAATTAATACTTAAAAACGTCATATATCACCATTGTCGCCGATGGCCTCTTCTCTTCTCTCTCTCCTCTCTCTCTCTCTCTCTCTCTCTCTCTCTCTCTCTCTCTCTCTCTCTCTCTCTCTCTCTCTCTCTCTCTCTCTCTCTCTCTCTCTCTCTCTTCTCTCTCCTCTCTCTCTCTTCTCCTCTCTCTCTCTCTCTCTCTCTCTTCTCCCCTCTCTCCCTCTCTCTCCCCTCTCTCTCTCTCCTCTATCTCCCTCTCCTCTCTCTCCCTATCTCCTCTCTCCCTCTTCTCTCCTCCTCTCTTCTCTCTTTTCTCTCTCTCTTTCTCTCTCTCTCTCCTCTCTCTCTCTCCCTCCTCTCTCTCTCTTCTCTCTATCTTTCTCTCCCCCTCTCTCTCTCCCTCTCTCTCTCTCACCCCTCTCTCTCCTCTCTCTCTCCCTCTCTCTCTCTCTCTCTCCCCCCTTGCCAGATGACGATTACCAAAATAGAGCAGTGATGTAACCGTCTCCCCCTTAGATGGAACATGCGATAAGATAAGGTGACTGCCTCCCACGGGGAAGCGTTGGTCATGACGTCTCCAAAATACAGTCCTGGTGGTAGATATCTCAAGACTGAGCACCACTGGCGATCTCTCCCAGGGGAACCATCCTTGGCCATCTCTTCAGGATGGAGTCTGGTCGGCCATCTTACTCCACCTTATGACCTAAGGTCGAACCTCTTAACCTTGGCACCTCGACCCCGCGTGATGATGACTCAACTGAAAATGGAGCACAGGCGCTGACCAAATCCTCCGAAATCTTCTGCCTGACATCGCCCTCGGTCCCATTGTCCTGGGGGAAGAGCCTTAAGACTAACGTGGTGTGGCGAAGCCCCTGGAACGAGCGGAATGAGCCTCTCTGGTTCGGCTGGGATTTCCTTCGTGCAGTAAGTCGTCAGAGAGCTGCCATCCATAAACAGGTCCGCTCATGGCTGATCAGGCACGAAACTTTGCCATGGGAGGTGGGAGGGGGACAAATGTCAGATCTTTCCCAATTCCTGCGAATTTGCATTGAGCTGCGAAATTGCCCTGCACCTAGTGCAAACCTCTTGATTCAAGGGGGCATGTTCCTCGTCCTATCACTCCCCCTCCCCCCCCCCCATAAGCTACATTCCTGCGGCTGGCGTAAGCAGCTTGCCCCGTATCAACGGGGCCATGCGGGATGAAGAATGGGGCATTGAGTGAGGAAGGAAATGTGGACGTGCATTCTTCAACAGTGGCCTGGAAAGTTCATGACCATTCGAATGAAGCTGGGTCTGACGGACGATGAACCCATCACACCGCATTCCCCGCCGCGCTGATTGGATGGCGTCTCGAGACAGGGCGCAGACGGCCAGCTGCTCCGCGGTGGTCCCCCGTCTGGTCGCGACTGCGCCGGTCTCTGTTTATCCGCCGCCATTGTGAGTTTACCGTTAAGCCACGTCGGTGTCGTTGGAGACGGGCGCGGCGCAGGCGAACTTGAGCTTGCTGCGGCGCCCCGCGGCGCGGCGGCGGCGGAATTGGCATGCGTCCGGCTGATGGGCGGAATGCTAGTTTATCGGGTGCCAAACAGTGCGCAGGCAAGGCCGGGTTCACAGCCAGGTTACAGCCTTGCCGCTGGGGCAGCTGGTACGGTCTGAGGCGCCAGAACAGGCCTCCATTCACAGCCGTCGATGCCTGAGAAACGCCACGTCTCTAGCGCCGTAGATAAACGTTCTATGGAGCGCATCAATCCCGGTCGGAGGCGCCTGAGGCGTCCCAGCTGGCACCCGGAACGTTAAACTGAAGGATTCACGCGCCAGTCGACGAACGCCCCGTAGCTTTAGCAGCGCATGACGGGAGCTCGGCCGGTCGCAAAACTCTGAACCCATAAGAGCGTCATTTGGAGATATTTGAAACCACAATGCAACACCAAGAGTTGGCAACGGAGTTTGCAATTCATCAAGAAATAGATATTGCAAGCCGTTTTCACACACACTCAGAGAAACTGTCCTTCACTCTGTCCTCACTCATCTACTCCTCCAGAATCCCCGCAACGCCATGTCCCTATGGGCCCAGCCATGGCAGTTAGCCCTGACCTCCAAAGCTTCCAATGGCTCCCAGCCAAACTGATCCCAACCAAACCAAATAAAAGACATTGCTTTAAAAAAAAAAAAAAAAAAATAAAAAAACCGCTTCATTCATGGGCGCTGTAAGCGTGTTGGTCCGATAAGCAGGTCCTCTTTAGATAGTGGGGCGCTAGCTGAAATATGGCGAGGAAGGCCCGAGAAGTCAGCCTCCCCTTTCCGGGATACGGAGATCGCGAGCATGTGCTGCACGCTCCCGAGAACATTTTCCCATTGAGCAAACGTTATCAGAAAGGTACTTGCACAGGTTTGCTGCCAGTGCCCGACATATTGTCCGCAAAATCCCTCCTCCGTTAGGGAAATAAAGCACATCTGTACATACTGCTGTCGGTTTATGTGAGATGGTCTACCCGGGGTGGCATGCCGTACTCAAAGCAACCTCTCATGACTTCTGTCCATTCTTCTTCAGCATCCTGCCAACGTGACCTTGAGACCCTTCGCTGGCTTATTACTTCGCGCGCTTTCGTCTCTCCCGCGTAAAACGAGGCGCGGGGGCCCTCCGACCTTGAAGGCTGCGGCGCCCGCGTCGCCCGCGGCGGTCGCGGCGGTCGCGGTGGGCGCGGCCCCGCGGAATTCGCGGTCACCACTGCGTGACCAGATTGTCCGTCACCATCGTGATGGACAGCCCGTGTCACCCCCCGCCGGGCACCGGCGTCGTCTCGAGGGTGGTCACTTAATATGCGTGACAAATGCCACCACTGAATGACCGTGACAGTTTTGTGGTTCGCAGCGGCCCCGAAAAATAAGAGTCCAATCACTGTCAGCGGCGCGCGCGGCGGCGGTGGATGTTATATGCCATGTGGTAGCTATATATACCGAGGCGGTGTTATGTTTTGCAGTATCAAACAATCCGGCTGGTAGTTTGTGTACATTGCTGTATTCAAAACAAAACACACAAATGTTGAATATTTGATCTCAGACCCAAAAACGTCCAGCATCAAACAGGAAAGGCGATTTTCATTTACAATTTGAATGTACTTTTGCAGTCAATGTTCACAACCGAGCCGCCAGCGGCGATCTCATCAGAGACTAGAAGCCGATTTCCCAACGCATTTCGCTCTGCGCTGTTTTGGGGATCAAACTGATTACTTTAATCTCCGCAGGCCAGTTAACGACCAGGCAGGTCCAACGCAATGTGATAACGCCACAGCCCGGACGATAACGGCTCTTGATCAGGGACACGCAGCATGTCTGAAAAATTAAAGAGTCGCGGCAGAAGACCGCGTGAAGTCGTGGCTGGCAGGCATACCACCGCGCCAGACATCGAACTGGGAGAGGGCGCAGGGCAGGACCTCCACGCCGATCATCACATGGTGAGATAGGAAAATGAGATTTTGCCGTTTTTTTTTGTCAGCGGCGTTTTGGGCGATTTGGGCCCCGCTTCGTGCCTCACGCAAGCCAAATTCCAGAGATACCTTGGTGTGAATAGAGACCATGCTTCTCTATGGAGGTACAAAGCTCCACCATTGTCTGGTCGCTTACGGGATCGATGACTTGAACGGAACTCTTAAGACAGTGCATCTCTTTTCAAGGCACTAAACTCCGCAGGAGATGCAACACGCTTTCATTCGGCGCCAGTATGAAGCTTTTTACAATGAATAAAACCCGGGCTTCTTAGGCGGGATTCGTTCTTCACTACAGACAGAGCATATCCGCGCAAAGCCCGCGGTTATTTCCACAGGGATTCCTCGCCGCCACCGTCAGCACTAATAAAGCGAGTCCCATCCGTCATGTCACTCAACAGTCGCCCTCGGCAGACCAACTGCGGTAAATCGCCGTCCAGACCGCGCCCGTCAGCTGACCTCATATGTGGTGCCTGTCCTCACTTGGATCTCAGCTCGGTCGCACCGCTGCGGGCGCAGCAGAGGTTATCGCGACCTGTGTAAAGGCCGCTTCCAATTGGCCGCGAGGAAATCACGTGATTTTGAATAATGATAGAAGTTTGAGTGCATCCGTAATGCTTTCATTCATGCTCTTATCGATTTTCAGGGTCGATGAAAAACATGGTCGGTCTGGTTGCTGTCGCACGCGCTGAAAGCGAAGTGCTGCTTAGGAATTGACAGATTGTGACAGAGAACGCTCCTTGATAATTTGAATACTATATCAGCACGTGCTAACAATCGCACACAGCGATTGTCAGTGCTTCTGTGAGTGCGTTCCAATCGAGCAGCCAAATTCAGCGAGTATGCTAAGGGTCCACCTGCAGTTGTTGTATGCAACACGACATAATAACTCACCCGAAGCTAATTCAGCCATTGTTTCAAACGTCACAAGAGTCACCCCTACAATTCAGGCGGCGTCGACCCACATCCAGTCCGGGGCCGCCAGCCACTTACTGCACGAGGTCTTCCTGCCGTAGAGCATATAGGAGGTGTGTGCGGCGGAACGGCCGGCTGGCGCTGGCTCATGGTGGGCGCAGGTGCCTCACATCACGCCGCCGGCTGCGCGCACTCGCCGCCGCACCCCATCCGCGCGCGGCACCCCACACGGCGACCCCCCGCGGCGCGGCGCGCGGGCGCGGCCCCGGCCGCTGCGGCGAGCGCGGGCGCACTGAAACGCGCTGTCCACCGCCGCCCTGTAGCCAGCGGCCAAAATAACGGCCGCTTCGACACGCTCCCCCTCCCCTCCCCCGGCCCCGGCCCCGGCCCCTCCGACGCGACAACACTGTCGTCGTCGATAGCAGCGCCGGCGCACGCACGCGGCCGGAGCCTCCGAGCTCGCGTGAGCGCGTGACGGCGTGACCGTGTCGCGGTCCGGTCACGCGGTCACATGCTGACCTGCGGCGGGGCGGGGGCGCTGACCGCGTCCACGGCCACGGGCCGGCTGGCCGGCGGCCAGCGGCCCGGCCGCCTCCGGCCCTGCTCGGCACAAAGCGGCGGCGTGGCGCGCCGCGGCCGACGGCGCGCCCGACGCATCGCCAGCGACGAGAGTCGGATAGGGGGGGGGGGGGCGGAGGAGGCGGGTCAAAACCGGGTCAAAAGACCGCCTCGCGCGCTGAGATGCAACTGTTGCGAAACGACCTGTTGATCATTTGAGGAGCAGGGCCAAGCGAAGAGGCGCGGCAGGCCGACGAGGCCCGGCCGAGCAGCTTCCTCACACCGCGCGGTGTGAGGAAGCTCTCGATGAGGCAACCGTGCATCCTGTGAAAAGGGGATGGGTGTATTCATGATGTGTGAGGTGGCAACAGGAGACACGGGCCCATCCCTGTGTTGCACTCACGCACACGCAATCACACCTGTTGTGGCGTTTATCACATCTTCCTCACCCGATATCACATCTCTCCTTTCCTCCTCCCCCCCCCCCCCTGCGGGCTCTAAGTATTTCACCGCCTCTGATGTCACCGGGGTTTGGTAGGGTATTTGCTGACTCCACAACCGAAGTGCAACGGCAAGAAACCAACCAGGGCTGTAGCTTCGTAGGTGATCTGACGATTTTTAAACGTTATTTGCGGGAAAAATCCCTCACGGTTGACTTGTCAGGTAGCGTCAAACAAAATCAAACCATTTTTCGGCGTGTCTCCGTAACTTGCGTTTGTTTGCAGAGTGAAGATGATGGAGATCAATGAAGCTACCATTTATTTCCACTGGGCAATGCAATGTCATCGGAGGTCACTACGCGACACTACCAATATTTGTGAACGGTTTTCCAAGCTTAGCCTGGCGCGGCCTCAGCATTGAGTGACCATTGCAACTACCAGAACATATCAGTACAACGATTATTTTGATTTATGACGCAGCGGTTTTGAGAGTGCATCTGGCAAAGCGTTTAATGCTTTGCTTCATGTAAACTAACGTTCAGGATTTGACCACGGAGGATATTAAGACAGTAGTTATGACCTTATTCCTAGTGGAAAAACCAGGAGAATGGAGATTTAGATGCGTTGATATTTCGGCAACATGTCTTTGTCCAAGCGAATAGCAGAAGGCATGAAGGCAAAGATGAAAGCATGTTGCCGAAATATCAACATATCTCTGTCCCCATTATCCGGGTTTAAAGTAAGATAAAGGGATGCTGGCCGAAATGTCAGCGCGTCTATCTCTCCATTCTTCTGATTTTCTACGAGGAATGAGGCTATTTCTACCGTCTTATCTATGTCCATATTTTTCACAAATACACTGAACAACTTACGGAAAATACCGGCAAATGATAGTCACGATGACTGATGATAGGGGTGACATTGTCACTTGCTGTTCGCACAGGTACTGATGAAGATCGGAGGCAAGATCTGATGCGTACAGAACCTAGGGCGCGTCGCAGAACGGCGGTTTTCCACAATTTTGGCGCGCAGAGTCTTGAACGCCAGGTTAGTTCTCGATTACCTCAAGTTGTAAGTCCTTCAAATCTTCAGATTAAGTAAGGAAATTTTGGGATTCAGTTCGTTGAAATGCCACCACCAAGCAAAGAACAGGTTCTGAAGATGATTTCGAAAAAAAACAGAGGAATTTGCATCAATGATAATGTGACATCATCTGGCGGCACAACCTATAGTCGGCGCCACTTCTGATTGCAAATGTCAATCAGTCGTTAAATTGTTCGTCTTGCCCAGTCAAGGCAAATGTGCAAAATACCGCATGACATTAAGAATTCAAACAGTTTGAACTACACAGGGCTATATCAACTTCACTCAACTCTGATTTATTCGTGAATACCCGATGAGGCTATCAGTGAAGTCAGTATAGTCGCCGTCTGTGGTCATATTTGAATCCGAATACGCATACGTGGCTGACTTCACAAGCATAAAATGTACTCAGTACCTGGATGTTTGGATTTCATGCGCTGAATGTCATGGCCCGTCGCCGATTCCAGCATGGCACATGCGGTTGTCAGCACGTTGAAATCGGCCCGTACCCCGGCTGTCTTCGCCGTGACGGTTCTGTCAGCACGCCTGGACTGGTTTTGATTCAAACGCGGCCGAAAGCATTCAGGAATCTGGAAGGGAGCGGTACTCGCAGTTTCCCGGCCCAACATACCGAACGCATGCTGATGATAAGCATACTACTATTGTGATTATGGGGTTTTTGCATATCACACACTCGTTACCAGTACTTGCGGATTTATTCGTCCTTACAACATCGGAAGACTTGTTGGCCAAGCTACACTTGAAGTAAAAAATATGCACGCAAGTAGTAACAAAAACTACGCCTGATGAAGCTGGCCCATAGACTCACCATGATCTGGGCCCGACCAGTTATCTTCTAACTTAGGTAAGATATTGAGCACAGTATGTGCTTCTGATGTATCTACTATGTTCGTGCTCTGGAAATCGGGGTGGAACGGCGCGTAGCTTCATAAAGTTCGGCGCAGGACCGAATTACCGACGTTGAAACAACCCATGACGCCGCCGTGTGCCCCTTAGCCACCTTGTGTGGGATTTAAAGTTTCGTTGCCAGGGGCAATCTTTCCGTACGCGTTGTTTTTAATGGTCGCGTACTTTCAACTCTGACTGCAGCCCGAATTCTGCTCGTCCACAAAGAAATGGTTTGTTGTCCTAAAATATATCTCTCAAGGATCTCGACAGCTAGAGCCTCTTCTGTTCATTGTGTAACTAGCAGTATTAAAACTAAACGCTAGATGTCGGGCAAATACAGTTTTTTTCGGCGAGCAACGCGCTTCAGCGTCGCCGCGTGCAAGCGATTGGTACGGTATATTCGGTGCTCGATTAGTGACCGATGGCAAGTGGAGATCCAGTGGCGCCTGAAGCCTGGCCGATCAGGCGTTTTTCCACCTTCTCCGGATGAGGGGCTCTAAAGGACTCCTATTACAGAACTTTATGTGGTTGAGTTGAGTAGAAAAGCGACATCGGACAGTTCACGTGCATAGCTAAATCGATTTAACGCATAATGCAATGAGCATGCCATGACCGTCTTGGGCTACACTAGGTTAGCGAGGCAAGAAGCGCATTTCGGCGTTTTTATCATCACAACCTTGCTTACTATGACGCTGGAGAATCGAGATTCTATAGCGCTCAGTACACTGAATCGCGTCCGTGCTCACAGCGCTATTGGTAACCCTTGACACACTGAATCAAACAACGGCGATAACCCATCCGCATGTATGACTTGTAACACAGCCAATCAGGTCACATTGCTCAAGCGTTGTGTGATCGAGCCTAGGATCGATCGCTGATAGCTATCTCGACAAGGAAGCATGTTGACGACAATGCAACAACCGGCGCCAGATAGCGTCTGGACACATCAAATATTGGCTGGTGATACCTGCCACGCGAGATCATGAAAAGCATTATCTTCATACGAATATTTTATCTGTTTCCGTTGTTCAGGTTTTATCTATGAGGACTTGACGTCGTTACACTTGATAACAGTGCACGATCATGCAGTGCGGCATGCAATAAGTCAATGCAGCGAAGGTGCTTAGAGCTTATCTGCTATGAAAAAGTGATATGCGACACCCAAGCACGAAATGCGACCGACGTAATTTGACATGGTATGACAAAGCATGACTACAGCTTAGAGGTACTTGGAGGTGCTCCTCACTTCGAGAGGAAGGGGCTTCAAATTTTTGCACATAGTGTAAAAACGCACAAACTCAGGGAATGAAAATGCATGCCGCATACGTTTTCTGGCCCAGAGCCTCTACCGAGCCAGCGTCTGTTCCAGTTGTTTTTGGTCTCTTTGGATCATTCGGAACTTGAAAACTTTGGGACATTTAAGCGTGGCGCAACGCTGCAGCTTACATTAACCCAGCCACGGGTCACTCCCAGTAATCTACCCAGGCGTTTGCAGTGCCTACCATGCCATACCCTGGCACCTCTGCAGTACCTTGGTCAATCGGTCCTGGCTATCTGACATCAGCAAATTATGTCACCATGATCAATTCAGCTTCGGCGAACTGTTCGATGTAGAAGCCTTCAGCTTTAAAGGCATCGCATGCGCTTAGGTCCAGTCTTTGCCTGTTTATCTCTTTTCTCCCAAAATGATGTTCAATGCTGTTGCGTGGGTTGACGTTCATCTTACTGAGCAATCACGCTCTCATGATCCACAGTGTCTGGCCCGCGATGAATACTTGCTGATTTTCTTTCGCTGACTCACTTGCTGATTTCTCCTGGCTTCGCCTCGGCTCGGCCTGAGGAGCAGCTGCAGAGGACTCCACCCCGCATCATGAGTCGGCCTCGCGTTCCCGTCGTCACCGCGTGACGATCCGAGTTGTCCATCAGAATTGGCGACCGGACACAAACGTATCACACGGGAAGAAAAGTATTCCGAGATGCGTATGTTGTTTGTGGCTTTGGGCCAAGATACATGACTTGCATAACCCATCTGGGGCCATGAAAATGAAAAGTCTCGTCATTTAGTACTCAGATTAAGTATAAATGTTTTAGTATTCTTGTATCAGCATTGCATGCGCCCAT